CATTCACCACAACTCTCTGGGCTCGGCCACCCAACCAGCTTCTGTCCCTTCCCCTTCATCCTAGCCAACTGTTTCTGCCACAGCAGTATCATTGGCAACATTTTCATTTGTGCCAAAATAGCTCTTGGCTTATTATACAGCACATTTTTCAAAAGAAAAAGCATTCTTCTTGGAGGCTTTTATATCTAGATCACTTCAGGGATCTGATTTAGACAATGGCCATGGAGGTGTAATGACCATAGATGGGGGATGTTGTGAGTGACAAGTGACGGTGACAAGAAGACATGGCTTGAAAAGGGGGAGTAGTGGATCTTATGGTGAAGAAATTATAGCAAAACATACCTTTCAACTCATGTGACATCCAATACTTAGGTTGCTGGCACTGCACAAAAGCACCTAAACAAAGTAGGTTCAAGCAGGTGAACTGGCCAGTCACAAAAGCTTACTATAAATATGAAACTGCTGTATTTCTGCCAGTGATACTTCAGGAAAATTTAGCTCATCTTTTTTATGAGTTTGTTAGGAAGCATGAAAGTTCAAACAGTTTTCAGGGGATGCAGAAACTCATGGAGCAGTCAACTATGGTGAAATTGGTCATACAGTCCACTGCTGGTTGCGTAGCAAAGGGGTTCATTTCTACCCTCTTTGTGTGGGATATTTAGGGATGAAGAATGTGTATCATACTTGTCAGCTCTAACCTGAAAAGAAGTAAAAAAAGATTTTTATCATAACAGATGGGATGAACATGGGGTGCCAGTATGATGTTACAGTTTAAAGGGCAAAACTAATTCCCAGTTTTGTAAGAAATATTGACTGGGAACACCTCTGGCTTTAGCTGGAATATTACTTGCCTATTGTGGGAAGTTCTTGTGTTCAGACTTCAAAAGAGATAGAGAAATATTGGAAGGTTTTCAGAAAGATTTGTGGCATAAAGAATGTCAGTGTACTTGGTTTGTCCAGAAGAAGGGTAGGAGGCAATTTAATCAATTAATTAAAACTTATGCAAGTGCCTGCATAGGAAAGAAGCTCTTGGTGGTATGTGGCTTCTTTGATCTAAGAGAGGGCTTGATGGGAACCACTGCTTGGAGTGTGGAGCTAGATGATATTAGACTACAAATGCAATTCAGGATTCCAAGGGAGCAGGTATTTAATGGCTATAATATGTCAACCACTGACCATATGCTGGGTTCTCCTTTACTTGAAGTTGCTATAGAGGCTCTGGAATGTAGAAATTATGCATTTCATGCAAAAAATATTTCATGCTACTCCTCTGGGGTGTCAAACTAGTTGATTAGAATAGCTCTTATTAGCTTTTGAAAAAACTTAATTTGGTTTTCTTTTCCTTCTGAACAGTCATGCTTTCAGATGTGAGGTTTCAGACCTTCAAAAGAGGGAGAAGCTGCTAAAACTGTACAGAAAAGCCTGAGTGGCTGGTCCTCAAGTGAAGACTTGTAGTAACCGTTCTAAAGACCAGACCTGCAAGTAGGAAGACTGTGACAGAAAGTGGCTTGGACCCTTCTAGAGCTGTCCAGGTTTACTCCTCAGCTTTTATTCCACCAGCTATGTGATATGTCCCAGGGAACTATTTATCTGCACTGCAAGCACTAGTTATTGGATCAACTCTGAAAGCAGGTTTTTTATCTCTAAATTATTTTCCCTTCCCAACACCAGGTTTGCAAGTGTGTATGCGACAAGAGGAGCCAACCGGATAGGACGTGTGTACAAAAAGGCTATTTTTAGGCAATTCACAGATGATACTTACTCCCAGGAGATCCCCAAAGCAGCCTGGCTGGGGTTCCTCGGGCCAGTCCTGAAGGCAGAAGAGGAGGATGTCTTTATTGTCCATCTAAAAAACTTTGCTTCCCGTCCATACTCTGTGCATCCGCATGGGGTCTTCTATGACAAGGACTCTGAAGGTAAAAGCTGGTTTGCCTTTTCCTGTCCTTTTCCCCTGGAGTAGCTAATATCATGGCTAAAAGTTTGTCCAAGTATTCATTGTTCTGGCCATTGACATCAGAGGGCTTTAGATCACCCTCTCATAAACTCATCAGTAATTGCAGCTGATGACTAAAACCAGGAACAACCTCGTCTCTCAAAACTTTTTGCCACAAACCTTTAACGCCTGGGATAAATCCAGTACTGAAACAGGTTAGGTGGGTCTTTTTTCCTGAATTATTTTCCTGAATTATAAGTCACCAAAGCATCTTCCCTCCTTCCTTCTACTTCTAGCCTGTTTGAATGGATGGAGTTCTTGTAAGTAAATGTTTCCCTCTCTACAGGGCTATAACAGGCATGATTAAATTTTCAGAATCCCGAACCTATGCATGTGTATTTTGGTTAGAGGACTGTATGGATTTGCCTACATTCATTGCTCTCATCAGTTTTCTGTGAGAAGATACACAATGTTAGCTGAAAAAATGTGTAGGTGACTGATGAGTGTAAAGACCCAAGGAAAAATCAGAGCCTGTTAATGCATTTTTAAAGCTTTGTCTACTGATAAATAATGGATTTTAACTTTCAACATTTTTTTTACAGTTTTACCAGAACTTCTGATTTTTTTCACAGTTTCTCAGTGATTCTGTGTTTGTGAATACTGTTATTATTTTATACATCTGTGATAAAATAGAAGAAATTACACATTTATTTAAAGAAGAGAGTTAAGCTCCTTTTTTCCTTTTAATATATTAGGAGCACTTTACCCTGATGGAACTGGCGGTAAAAGCAAAGAGGACGACTTTGTTGTTCCCGGTGGAAATTACACGTACACATGGCCAGTAAGGAAAGATTATTCGCCAACTTTGGCAGACTCAAACTGCTTGACTTGGATTTACCATTCTCACATTGACACACCAAGAGATATTGCGTCTGGTTTAATTGGGCCACTTCTGGTTTGTAAAAAAGGTACTGAGCTAGAAACACTGATAAAGCAAGCCCCTCTGCCAAGCTTGGCATCTTAACAGTCATTTTTGCTTACAGGTATAAACATGATGGTCTAGAGTCTATCCCTACATAGCCCATAAAAAGGGGCAAGGAATAGCTGGGCCATTCCAGGAGCATCCCAGGGTAGGTATTGTAGCTCTGGGACAACCCCCTTCCTGCTCCCTTTTGACTTCATGAGAGATTTGCCTCAGCTGGTGGAGGGACTGCAGCACGCTCTGTGGCCAGCCAGTCATGGCCAAGACCAAAAATAAATGTTCCCAAACTAGGATTGTTTCAGGATGAGCAAAGGACTCCTTGCCCAGGAAATGAAATTAGGGCTGTGTGGGTGACTTCAGCACTGCCATTTACATATTTGAAACCCCAATGTTCTTTGTCATTTTTCCCCCATATGGATTATATATTTATTTTTTCTCACAAGTTATATATCACAACCATATGGGAATGTACGCTGAGCAGCTGAGGTGACAGACTGTCCTATGTACTTTATAGTCTGCTAACTTTGTACTGGAGCCATCAGGAACCACGCACCAGCCTTCTCCTCTCAATCAGCTGAGCCATCACCCCTTTCCCCCTAAGACACGTGCAACTCTGCCACCTCTTCCCAGTACCTCCCACATTACAAAACCAGCCCTGATTTTATATACAGAATATATAAGTAAACTGGGTTTTATATATGAAGAAGAGAAAGACTTCAATGTGGAAAGGACAGGCCTGGTCTCCAGCTTAACTCACATAATCAAAATGTGTCAGACTTATTCTCCGGGAGAGCCTCTGCAATCCGCAGAACTGCCTGAATATGTGAAACTGAGCTGATAACTATGGGATAATACATAAAGCTAGGAGATAGCACATTCAAAACAATTGTAGCCTGAAAGGCCAGGTTATCTGCATGTTTGGTCTTGAATTCATCAAGGTGGATATTTGCGTGACGCTACTGCTGTAGTCCTCTGTCCAACAGTGGGTGACAGCAAGGCTCTGGGGCTCCCTCCCACAGAATACAGGGGAAGCAGAAGTTTTCATGGGTTCAGAGGTAAACCAGACAATTAGATGAAGTCTAAACCTGCCAACAATTAATAATAGACTACTCAATATTACCACTGCTGTCATCTCAGGTTGTTCCCTAAATGGTCACTCAGATAATGATACTGCACTTCGCCTCACTAGATTCATCCTGCCTTCAGCCTTTTAAAATTTAAGTATCTAGTCCATGATAATTGCTTCCTCATTAGTCTCTGGACAGTGAGCCACATTTAGATGGCCATTCTGAGGGTATGGTTCACCAGTCACTTAAATGCAACAGAAATGCAGGCTACCACTTGCCTCTCCTTAATTCCTGGTCAAAAAAAAAAAGTCACTGGTTTCTGGCTGGATCACTGTGTAGGCACACAGATGCTAATACTGACTAAAAGGCAGGGTTGCGTGTAGTGGGCCAAAGATGGGGAAAATGGGACCACAGATATTGGCAGGCACTTGTGCTTATGTCAAATCAAAAAGATCCTGAAATATCAGCTTGACTTAGACGAGATGAACCATCTTCTGGAGGCACTCGTTCATTCAAAGGCTGTTGGAGGGGCGTCAAGATGTCTTAGAAGAACAAAACTAGGTGAGATTCGTCCTGCCTATAGATCACGGGCAGAGCACTGTATTTCCTCAAAGTGCTCCAAAGTTATCGTCACTTTTAAATTCAATCCCCTCCAAGGCTTTTTTTATCACTTTCCTTTTCGTTTGCAATTTAGGAACCGCAGATGAGACCTCAATAGAAGGGACTGGTGCTGCTAACGCTTTTGCCCTGATGTTTAGCATTGTAGATGAAAACTTCAGCTGGTACCTCGACGAGAATATAAACACCTTCTGCTTAGAACCAGCCACAGTTGACAAAGAGGATGAAGGTTTCCAGACCAGCAACCGAATGCATGGTGAGCAGGACTATTGAGCAAATGGTGACCTACAGCAGTGAGCAGGCTCTTTTCGTTTCAGTAGGACTTCCTGTCCCTTGTGATGTCTCTCCTTTACCTGTGTCAGCAAGGAATGGGTCAGGATGTTGAAGTACTGTGTTGATAAAAAGCCTCTCCTTAAATACAGCACAACACATGGTTTGCAGAAAGGAAATTTGGCTTTCGTGCTGAACTCTGTCACTTGTTTAGCATTTTACTTTAGGCAACAGATCTAAGCCTTTTGGTGACTGTTTGACCAGCTGTGAAAAGGGAAAAGCAGAGCACTTTGAGACGTGTGTATTGGAAGAGTCCAGCATTTCTCAAAGGCCCTTGTGGATGGTGGGCTGGCTGGTACAACCACTCCTGCCTTTCAGAGATTCATTGGCCAATGGTACTTTGTGCCATTTGGAGATCTGGTGTAAGAAGTTAAATCCAGATATTTCTCTGTATTTTGGTTGTTCCATGGAGCCTAAGAGCTAAAATATTTTGCAAAATACGAGTCTCATTCTCCTAGGGTCCTGATACGTCATCAGGTGCGAAAGCTGAGGAAGAGAGCTGACTAGACTGATTTGATTGATATCATAATTTTCAAATCTAAATTGCTTAAGCCTGGCATATGATGGTATATTTATGACTCAGAATAAGGAAATAGATTTCAGACATGCTAAATAGCTGCAGAACAAGTTATCTTCATTATGAAGCCTTTTTGGTGATGATTTGGCCTTTGCAACATCTTGATATCACCGAGGAAGTTTTTCACAGACCCATCCAGGGAACCTGGGGCATTTGAGCATCCAGAGCTGTAAGCTGTATGTTCAAAATGTTACTTTTCATTAAGCAGCCTGTGAGGGCCTTGTTCAGTGTGGGCATTTGGACAGTTTCTTTTCTGGGCCAGGAAAGGATGACCCTTAGAAATGGGGTCAGAGGCACTTGGCATTTCTCTTTCACCTCTCATAAAGTCTCATACTTTTGTTTTTAGCTATTAATGGTTATATTTATGGCAATATCCCCGGCTTGGAGATGTGTGCTGACACTTCCATGTCCTGGCACTTGTTTGGCATGGGAAGTGAGATAGATATCCACGCTGCGTATTTCTACGGCCACACATTCACTAACAGAGACCAGAGGGCAGATGTCATCGGTCTGTTCCCAGCAACGTTCATCACAGCGGAGATGACTCCCAGGAACCCTGGGAGGTGGCTGATAACGTGCCAGGTTAACGAGCACTTACGAGGTATGCTGCTATAGATCTCACTGATCCTTTCAGAAGTTCCAGCCTCTATTATGCTTGGAAAAGAAAACTGAGAGATGTTTCCAGGGGAAGCAGCATTTGACACTTTTTTTGTGACTAACTGAACACTTTGGAACTATTTCACCAGATAAACACCATGAATATGAGTTTAGTCACCAGTGGAAATTATACATGTTGGGCAAAATCTTCAGCTAGTACGAATGACTTAGCTGTGTAATTCATATGAGGAAGGCTTGCTATACCCAGCACTGACACCACACTTTCTATGTAAACTGGAGATTTTGATGAGCAATGAGAGGAACCTTCATCATCACTTTTTCTTCTAGATAAGTACTTACACAAAAAGAAGGATCATGCCAGCTGAACACTTCATAGCTTTTTCCTTTACAGAAATCAGGCAAAAGTTGACAGTGTTTTCAGAAACCTTTACATGAAGGAGTTTGATGGTGATGGGATATTTGTGTGGTGTGAGAGCCTGAAAGCACGTATCATAAACTAGGTCTCATGACAGCTGGCAATGTATATTTATCATATCAGAGTTTGGACAATTTTTACTTTTAAGAACTTGCACACTGATTTCAGTGGGATTTGCATCAGGCAAAACAGACTTGGTTCTGTTAAGCAACAAATATCTAATATGGTAATAACTAGCCTCTCTTTTTCAATGAAAGTCAAGGGGAGATGATGCCATTTTGCACACTTCAGGAGGCACTCTGAACCCCAAAATCATGCTACCATCCTTACCCAGATTAAGGAATTCAGTAAATAAGCCCACCAAAGAGTGTCATTGATGTCAGGGGGTTTCACCTGTGGCATAAAGTATCACCTTTCAAGAGAAAGGTGCTGGCATCTGGCCCAATGCAGGCAAAGGAAGTCTTTAAAAATAGAAATTTACCCTAGTAATTGTTTCCAATCCATGTAGCTCCTAGAGAGTTTTGAACGTACATTTGTATCCATGAGATTGCTGACTCTGCAGCTGGCCAAGGACCGTCTCCAGACTCTTTCTCCTCCCAGGTGGCATGGAGGCACTGTATGATGTTCAGATCTGCCAAAAAAACCTGTCTTGGCCTTTACCATTCAGTCACAAGAGAAGATATTACATCGCTGCTGAAGAAGTGCTCTGGAATTATGGACCTGACGGTTATGATAAATTCACTGGGCAGGGTTTAAACGCCACTGGCAGGTAAGCTTTCTTGTCGTCTTCTGTTGTGCTTTAATTTCAGAAGTCTGGGTGAGACTTCCCCAGTGATTCATGAGGGCTAGGTCCTGCACTGTTATTAATTTTAATTGAAAGGGGCAGGGAGGAATGGATTTAAACAACCTTGTTGGGAAATTAGATTTGTAACTGTGATGCTCGGAGTTGCCTTCTGGAAGCACTTATCTTGCTCCATTAAGTCCATGGAGAAAGTGAGCCCTGGTGAGGTATGCGAAGTTCAACAGAGTTAATGACTCTATGTCGAGACTCCTCAGGCAGCTTTCACACTTACAATCGGTGTATCTCAGAGGTGCCACAATGGTAGATTTTTTTTCCCTGTTATTACTGATGAAGATGAATTGTATTACAGTATCTCCCAGGAAAGCTAACGAGGATTAGAGACACATTATGTACACATAATGGCACAGGTCTTACCCTAAGGTAGTCAGAGGTAAGTTGACATAGATGTCTCCATAAGTAAATTGGAGATAAACACATGGAAGCCTAATGCACAATGAATGCCCATTTGTTAACTAATTTATTACTGTAATTCAGACCAGTAATATCTCTCTCTATCTGCTAGAAAAGTGCATGCAAACTAGTAACTTGGGGGATAATTTCTTCTGCATCTGGAGTAATAACTGTGCGAAATGAAGGGTTCTGCCTGAACCTCCAATTATTTAACCAGCCCAATTTGTTAATTCCACAGTGAATCTGCAATATATTTCACACAAGGGACTGACAGAATAGGAGGGCAATACTGGAAAGTTCTTTACGTGGAATATACTGACGCAACGTTCAGTAAGAAGAAGATTCGGTCAGAGGACATGAAGCACCTGGGAATACTTGGTACAGTGAATATTTCCCCTCCTGTCATTACACTGGGATTGAATATACATCCGCTTGGATCCAGAATTTTGTGCATGCAGCTGCCAGTCAGCCCTCTCTTGTTTAGATGGAAATACGTTAGAGGGTAGTTCTTCTAATACTTTCCCTCACTCTTTTTTTAAGGCCCTGTTATAAAAGCTGAAGTGGGAGATACAGTGCTAGTTACTTTTGCCAACAAAGCCAAAAGAAGCTATAGCATTATGGCACATGGCGTAAGCTTCAGCAAGCTGTCGGAAGGTGCTCCCTACTTAGATGGTAAGTTTTGACTGCACTGCGGTATTGTCACATCCAGAATACCTGAGTCTAAATATCTTCTGTTGCTCTGCAGGTTTGCCCTTTCTGTAGATGCTAAGGCACAGAAGGGATGATTTGATTAGTTTCTGTCTACCCTATATGTCACAACCCATGGGACTCCTCAGTCCGCCAATGTGCTGGTTCTTCCCCTTGATCATGTGCCAGACAAGGCGTCTAAAACTATCTGAGGTCCATGTTGAACAAAAGTCACAAGAACAATCCAATTTATATTAGTTCTAATCTAATGTCTCTTAACTGCAGTCAGTGGATCTCCTCTGGACATGCTCCAGAATTATGAAGCTTAGGATCTGTCATGATGCCCCTGCTGAGTCTTTGGGTATAGCTATCCACATGGTCTGGGTTGCTTCATTCCTGATTCTCTAATCCAGGTCAGGCATTGCCCTTGCTTCACTGTCAGGACAGTCAGTGTTGGAGGCAGCTTTTTTCTGATTGACCTGGAATGTGAAGCAGCGATAATCCTTATTAATCCTCATAAATATATATGGAACATTTACCAAAGGCTTCCTCCCATTTTGTGCAAGGACAGGATCTTTATCATCTAAGTTTAACCATTAAATGTCATTATTAATTGGTAGGCACCTTTTTCAATTAGTGCCAGGAAACAAACCCTTCAGAAAGTGAGAAGTCCCGTTTACTTTGAACACCTATTTTAGGAGACAGCAGGTCACCCTCTGGACATGTGTTTCTGTCTCCATCAACTATAGGAGAAGCCTGGAGTTTGGGTTAGGGACTAAGCTTTAGATGGCTCAAGTAAGGTGAACTGAATCCCGTCAATAGTGACTACAGAGGTAATATTGTTGTGTCTGAAAAAGTTTTTGCTGCATCTGCAGTACTGGAAAGAAAGGTAGGCTTCTTGTGTAAATTGCTTTGTTTCCACTACAACACATCAGAAAGAAACTCACAGGACATAATCCCTCTCTTGAAACTGTGCTAGGAGAATTAGGTCAACATGTGGATGTCATCTACCTCGACTGTGGATGTCATCTACCTCGACTTTAGCAAAGCTTTTG